GCGACTTTTTTACCCGCTTCATTTTCTCAGACACACAGTTACCAGAGGGAAGGATCTACATCATTGACAGAGTTAAAAAACGACGGGATTGAATCCTACACCTTAAAGTAAGCAAGCAAGCGTTTAACTCAATGAGTCAATGAAGACGTCTAAAAACACCGAGATGTTGGATTCTGGGTCTTGCCATTGCTGGTTGAGAGAAAATTATTGACGTCTTTGCATGTTTGTAGATGGAGTTGCATCCCATTATACAATGTTTCAAGTAGCGGAACCCTCAAGAAATCACACATAGTCAAGAGCTAAAAGAGGTTACAGTTCTTACGGGATATCGTAATTAGAAATGTGCTGAGATAAGTACATTTGGGATAAGTCAAACTTTCAGGATGAACTTTAATGTTTTTATAGTGTTGTAGGCCTAGTAATTGGCCCATACGTCAAATTTTTCTTGTGAACGCTGTATTATATTACCTGTAAAATGAACATAATTGCGTAAGAGTTGAAATGGATAGGCTATATATTTTTAAGAATATAAATGCCTCCATGAAATGTAGGCCTATGCATGGAACTTATATCGACAGAATAATGAGCTGTTTAAGTTAGAATGACACCGACCTGACATTGTCCAAACTGAAGGAGGCCGAGGCACACGATTCTTCTTCGATTGCATCTAGAGTAGGTTTTGGCAAACTTGATTTTCTAGTAGATTCCATCTGAAAGACATTAATATTTATAAATAATCAATACCTTTCTACATATATAAGACTACAGTTCTGTAAAGATTAAATCCCATATAATTTCCTCGATTATTCAAGGAGAAAATAATGAACTCTATATCACCATATTTTTGTGATATTTACAAGTCAGAAGACGTCAATAGATTAGCACAGATTATAGATTTGTCAAGATATTTGACAGATGTAACTAATTCTGCTTTAATCCTGTATTCCATAAATAAATCTTCCTTTATATTGAATAAAAGGCACCTAATCTTCACAGATTAAATTTCCAATGTAAACCAGTTGCGTGACGAACAACAATTTTACTAATACACCATTTCAGACAGTATATGTAATATTATTTATGTTAGGTTACGATAATCTAACCGTTTCATGTATCGATATCTTCAAGTTTTTCTTGTTTTCCATTTAAAAATGTCAACTTATTTGATTATCTGAAGGACGATAGGCTAATATGAGGAAAATATTTTGCCTGGTAATAAATATGATCATGAGTTAATGCTCAAACTTTCTCACGACTTTTGAGAAGATATCAGATAATAAGTATAGTGTTCATATATATTACATGTAAACAAAATTAATAACCAGAGCATCTTGTTGTACAAGTGTTTTACCCTTGATCTCATGGGTGATACAATGGTAAAATGTTCAAAAGTAACGAATTACCACAACTAATTAAACCTTCAAATCATTCGAAAATTGTCCCTATATCCTGTTAACTAAAAAATGTAAAATATTTTGCAATAGGATATTAAATTAAATTTCCTCGAAAACAAATGTAGAATTGTAAAAGAAAACAACAAAAATGCAAATGCCAAAAGTTAAAATAATAAGTTGAGATAATAAAAAAAAAAAAGAATTCGACAACTGCTGTGTATGGTTAGGATGGATTCTTTCTACAATTGATTAGATATAAACCTAAGCCAATTTGCGATTTATTCTTCAGCTTTAATATGTAATATGTGCATAGTGCAATAATAAGACGTATAACGAGCTCAGTATGGTAAATTATCGTTTTAAACATTACATATCTACAAACACTTTCAATTGTAAACTTACCTTATCACAAATATCAAATCTTACACATTAATAATTTGTTGTCCATTTTTAATTGTCAAAAAGGAAAGGTACACTATTAAGAAAATATATCTCGACTGTCGCAATGAGAAGCTTGGTGAAGTGGCAATCGGATAATGACGTCATGCTATATAATTTACATGATAGCCTTTATATTGAATTCATAAAAGGGCTATACATAAAGTTAAAATGACTCATTGTAAGTAAACACTTAAATTCTACTTACAAACAGTATGGTCTTTGATAAAGCCTTTATTATTAAATACTCTTTACCTATATAGTATACAATCACGTTTATCTAATATCAATGCCCCTTTTATATGCCAAAGTGTAAAAGTGTTATTAATACTGCAAACCCGGTTCTTTAAAAGAATAAAATGTTCTCAAAGTGCAGTAAGATAATTTAATGATTTAAAATACGGTTTTTAAAAGCAGTTGACGAAGTAAATGTGCTTTAAATTCTCGCTAGTAATCTGCAGGTAAAGAAATATGACCCCAGGGCCAAACCAGTAATAAACCCAATTCAAAAAAGTGTCAGTGCCTGTAAAGGTGGGTTGAAAGATGACCAGTTTAAATCCGCTTCCAGCAGATTGAAGCTGACTTTGCAGACAAGGTAGTTAAAGTTTGGTTGAATCTTGATAAATTGGATGGTTTGGTATATAGTCGAGAAATCTTCAGATCTGGTCGGGTCTATGACATCCCGGATTTAGCACTGATTAAGATACTTAGATGGCCTTCTCTGGCTTCAAGAAACACGACTGATTTGTCAAGCAAACGACAAACTTTATATGTTCTCATGGCACAAAAAATTATATTGTGCCAAAAACAATGAAATAAATTTTCACTAGTGGTGGAAAGATTTTACGTCCTAATGAATAACGCCATTAATATGAGAGAATTGGTCCGATAAATTCAAATAAGGACATGTTATGATGAAGTAAATTAATTAATTCAAATGGTTGGTGGAAGTCGACCTCCAAACTAAATTTCATCAGGAACACAATTGACGATTGATCGGATCACTCTCTTGCAGAAAATTAGTTTAAAAAAACTAACAAGAATGGCTCTGAAAATTGATACCCAGTTTAAGGGAGGTAATAAAATGAAATAATTTTTTTTACACCAACACGAAGCGAGCCAACCCACAACCAAAACACCCTGAAAAAAAGAAATAGAAGTTATAAACATGGTAACATCTAACAACCATCTGGATCAAAACAACGATAACGTGATACCAAAGACTTGAGTGAAGCACCCGTAATTACATTTATTTAGAGTACATCAATGATATGTAAAAAAAATTTGAGAGCTACTGTAATTTAAACACTGTTAGCAACTGGTGGCATCTTGATGATTATCATTCGTCGCTGGATTTAGTGACTTGAATGCCATCAGTTGCTAGCATTCATTGAAAAGACCACTCAGAGTAGTTGAAGCGATAATCACGTTATCCGCTTAAACGAAATTTAACAATAAATTGATAAGGTAGTTGTATTTGCTGAAGGGAATATAGAAAGAAAATGTCAAAACCGTTCTCCAGACTGACCATTGATGGTGAACTTAAACGGGTTAAGTTTGTATTTACAATTTGGAAGGCAGATAGGTATAATGCGTATTTGATTAAAATAGTACATTATATTATCACAATACGTTTTAATAAATGGCGCATTGTATAACAATACAAGAGTGAAAGACATTGACATGTTCTTTATAGATCTGAAGTCAAAATTTAAAGGGATATACAGTCGTGTTATGTCCTTCAAATGCTCCCATTATATCTCTTTACATATATCCCTATATAGTTTTTATTATATCGGAATGATCATTGGGTACAAAACATATCAGGTTGATTTCAGAATGGTACCACGTCTGATTTTTTATTAATCCACATCTTGTGCATAAAAAATTTTTAATCACTACCACGTACATCCGTAACATTTTTAAGATTTTTCAAAAACAGCTTCCAAACCATATAACCCCGTATGTGACCATTTATTACAAATAATATATATAAATGTTCAATATAATGTAGGTCAACATGCTTTGATTATGTGTAACTTATAAACTAAAGTGTGAGATAACAAATTTGGGTTGGATATCCTATTGGCCGTGCACCTTATGAAATTCAACTTGAGTATAATATATACCTTGTAAAAATTCAGATTTAAAGCAATAATATTGTGCGTATTGCAGAAACACAATTTCTCAAACATAAAGTACATAAATATGTTTAATCATGATTGATTCTTACATCGATGAAACTGAAAAGTAAAACATTTGGGTCAGAAAAAAAACAGGATATTTTATAGACCAGAGTACCGAAACGATATTCATTTTTCATTATTCAGATTAAGAAATTAATAGGCTACTATCGTATTAGGAGAATTGCGAAGTTACCCAAATTTTCACCAATCAAAATATCCCTCGGCACATTTTTACATCATTAACTACCGAATGTCGAAATTCTGAGGCAATGTGACTTGTTGATGTTTATCTTCAGGCGAAATAAGCCTAATATTCTAGTTCACTAATATGATACACATGATATCATGATATATATAGATTTTATTATTCTGTATAATGACGACAACCAAAATTTCTTATTATGCCAACATATCAGCATGACGGAAAGGAACTCTAATTCCTGTTTATGACGTTACAAATTAATCATTCGCCAATCTTTTTTTCTTCTATAAGCAGAAGTCTACAAGGAATGTCAGAATCCTCAAAGGCAACTTATATCTAAAAATATGATGTAGATAATACAGTGATCTCTTCTCAAGTTAGCATCCACCCAACCTATATGTCATCAGTGTGACTGGCCTTACCGTTACAGATGTACATGTATTCGAGTGACCCCAAATTTGTAATATTCTTTCGTTCCGTGCCCCGTTGCTACAGGGAAGCAGGAGGGGAAGTGGGCATTACCGAAAAAGTGGATTGCACCCCAACAAAACACAAGTAATGTAAATAAAATGTCATAGCTCATTTAAATTTCAACTGCAATGATGATCAGAGAACCTTTGGCTTTTAAACGATTTTCATTAATGTCGGTGAAAGGTTCTCGTTTCACCAACTGTAAGTAGATATAAAGATATCCACAACTCCATAAACATGTTATCACGTGTATATATGTATAGAGCACAGTATTCAAAATGTTGGTGGTAAAATTTAATTCGTCAAAAAATGCCTTTAGAGAATTATTTCAAAACTTTAATTGCATCATATTATTCAGGCGTGTGGGGTAGACTTACGCACTTCAAAGAAATAGTTAATGAAATTAGGGCTATTATTAATGTCAAAAGAACACATGAGTTAGTATTAAGGAATTACGAAATTAAGTAGGTTATTGTTGTGCTTAGGGCAAGATGATCTATTATAAGGAAACATGTAATTAAATGACAAATGACCCAATGTTTCTATTTTCTCTCCAATTAGACACTTCCATGCCATCGGACGTAAATATCACATTTTATCACGTGATGATGACGTCTTCCATTCCTGTTATAAATACCAGATCTGAAGTCTGAAGAATAATAAATGATTTCACTACTCTAGAAGACTAAGACTTTCTACAAGAAAGGATTTGTGACTTATAAGGAAACAGTCTTCATGATTTATTCAACTTTCAGAAGAACTTTGAACAGACTTTTAAAGAAGCAAATGGAAGATTTACAGAAGGCCTCGAGGATGGGAGCTCAATGTGACAACCATGGAATTAATGGAAACCGACCAAATCATAACGACCTGAACAACAACAAAACGCAATCAACAACTACAAGCGACTCCACAAAGACAAAGAGTTATTTAGCAGAATATTTAGCAGGGTTATCATTGGAAGCTATGGTTGGAAAGATGGAAACAGTTGATCTTAAAATTCCCAGTAAACTTGTCCACCCTGCTGGACACAATAAAAACGGTTTAATGAAGAAGATATCACATATTACTAAAGCTGACATCATGGAGAAATTCTCGGAATTGAAGGAAATTCTTGGTGAAAGTAGGATAGTGGAAAAACCTAAAACTACCATACAATGGGCGGATGAGAGAGGATACAGATTAGCTACCGTTCAGACAATAAGACCACGGTTAGTGTTTGCCGACGAATTAATGGCTACCAGCATTGTTCCAAAATCCATTTTGAAGAAACACTAGAATATCATATCCAGATTTAAATACGAACTTTGGTGCTTCATGACAGTGGCTTCATTACTTGATTTTCTTCCAACCGTCCAATTTCTTCCTGGAATAACAAGGATTAGTTTAATCCAGAGACTGCAACATTGTGCTCAAACAAACTTTATGATATCGTATCATCATTTTATACAATTTGTATTATTTATTATCTCATTTAATTATATATTTTACAATAGTATTCATTAAACATTTATTTAAAAAAAATATTTTTCTATTTCTTAAAAAAATTAAGATGTAAAAATTTGAAAATCTCTGTATTGTTAAAAATATTAGCCTATGATGCAGTCATTCTGACAATACAAAGATTTTTTGAATCGAAAACATATCCATCATATTTCCCATTGTTTGCATAAAGGTGGAAATACCGCCAGGGCGACAACTGCGATTTTTCATTCGTCGGTGCGCTCTTAGTTCGAATTCATCCAGCGAATGATTAAATGGTCCCAAATTCAGACAATCGCATGATGCGAATTGCAGAGATGATTTAAAGGTAATTCTGGTTGAAGAAGGGAGATATAGATAAACACTAAAAACTCTTTGGATTACGTTTGCATAGACAATCTAGCTCTTACTTAGTGGGTATATCTGCATACGTTCAGATAATATGAACTTGGCTGAAATGACCATTGGATGCTTATGGATGACAGAGAGCAATGAGTTAGCCCTTGTACTACTTAACTTCCAGTACAAATCCAGAAATTATAGTGATTTGTCTACTTCAAAATACTGTCATCTGGACGTATTCTGACAGAAAGCTATATCTTTTGTAATAAACCTATACAATGCAGCCATAAAACAAAGACAAATCTGTATTTCGCAACCAAGGTTAATATAAAGATTGAAAGCCACAATGGAAATATGCGGATATTTAAGACGCTTCTACTCAATGTAAACAAGTAGAAATTTTAGCCAACTATTTCTTCATATACATGTACTCCATGAAACAAATTACGTCCCCGAGGTTCACCCCAGTAGTGTATAATAATGAGTCTGAATGAAGATATGCCTTGAGCTTAGTGTGCTTTCTAATTACTAGTAACAAAGGAACTCCAGTCAGTTTTTGTCTCTTCATCTCTAGCCTCAATTTTTTTTGGAATATTAATGAGACTCATACTAAAAGACAATCGATATTAATACAGTTGCCCAATCAAAATGCAACTTCAAGGTAAAATACATCAAAATAGGTATCTTCTTATGGATAAAGATTGAAAACTTGTAATTAATCCAATTTTCATCACAATTAATTTTAAATAACCTGAAATCTGACACTCAGGAAAGCTGCATTTCTTTGCACGCAGTTAGCCCTGGTTAAGATGTCTTTGGATGTCGGTGTTCTATCCGGTTTAGGTCCGGGCTAAATGAGGTCTTAGGCATTACAATAATGTTATGCTGTTGGAGGAATTTAAGCCAGGTTCTGATGGCGTTCTCATGCTGGAATAAGATGTGGTGGAAAAGGAGGTACAACGTGGGATCGGAAAATCTGGTCGATGTAACGGGCGGCTTCGACTCAATGGCCTTCGAAATTTGGAGGCCAATATTCTGAAAGACAACATGTCCAAGTTTCTGATTGGTGTTGGTTGCACCCCATGTTTTTACTCTACTACTGCTTTGTAAAACGTTTACATCTTCTTCGCTACACTTGTATTCTACCATTTGCGGTAAAAAAAATACAACAGCGACTCATCCGAGAACACGTCGGTCCTCCTCTGCTGTCGTTGGGGGTGACCCATTCTAGACGTTGATGACTATAATGAGGAGTGAGCATTGAACCTTTGTTTAGACGACAACCAGACAGGTTCTGAGCTGATTTCAAATTTCGGCTCTGGTGGATTGCTGATAATAGTCTGACGAACTGTCTGGGCCCCTTTAGTGAATCTGTCATGTAGATATTGTCGCAAGGTGGTGGTGGGACGATCTTTTCTCCATGTTGTGACTCGGGGACGATCACTGCGTGCTGTCTTCCAATGGCTCTTACGCTAGAGTTAAAAATCATTGGCAATGACTTGGATACATTGTCCGGGGTTTAATTTCCGGTGGCTTGTTCATGTTGTTGGAAGATTAGACGTGTCATGATCGCTGTCGTTAAAAACCTAACTGAATTTAATAGGTGCATGGTTTTTTTTATACAGAATCGTTGCACATGCATTTCGATTTTCCTATGTCTCACCAGGCAACTTGCTCCCACAGGCATCTCACAGTTCCCAAGGACACAAGTCTTAAAGTCATATTTACAAATGATATCAACAATTTAGATCATGTCCGATTATGTCCATATAATCGAAAAATGCGACGTTTCTTTTTCTGCTCAATATAATTTAGTTGAATAGGGGATCCAAAAAACTATTATTGTATTGAGCAATTATGTTTTAACTGTTGAACAATAAGGATCAATTTTTTTTAATCTTGCTGGTTAACATTAACAATCTCTGACATATAGCACCATCAGTGGCATTTCTATCGGCTTTGGACTGAAAACATGATGAAGTTCACAACACATTTTTGGAAATTTAAATGAAATAAATGGAGTTTTACGTCCTACTTTTCTGCACCACAGTTTTGGAATCAATTTAAATCCAGAAGATCAAAAGTAAAGGAAGTTGATCATCGTCCTCATTCAAACTTCACAATTTAGTTCAAGGCCATCGAAGTTCTGAATAGAACTCTCCCCAGTTGGTGAATCAAGCCTGAAGTCATTTGACCGATTTGTTTAGAACAATCCTCTTCATCTACGTATCTTCGGGCTAATATACAGCAATCCAATTGATTCTGTATAGTGTCTTCTCACTTTTGACATTTGTATGGCCTTTGGTCAGAAATTCATTTTAAATATCACTAGCACATGACATCAAAAAATCAAAATTTGGCATGAATAAGATCACGAGAATTATGTCAGTAATTATTTACATAAAGTAAGATAGTTCTAACCTTAGGTCATTTGTAATTGGTATAGTAATCAATTCATTACCAAGTGCAAGTGACACAATTTTATTTACCACACAAAAATGTATTTTGAGACCAATGTATCTGAAAGGAATATGTAACAATAAAAATCTGCAATAAACTTGTTATTCTCGTTTAATGTAGTGTCAGATTAAATCAAATATATCACACAAGATCTTTTCCATATAGATTTTGTGGTTCATCAAAATTTCACATCACTATTGAACACACGCCTTGAGAAAATATGACAGATCACATTTTTTCCACCCTAACCCTAGCTGTTGCTGGGGAACAATGCAACTCTTTTAGACTCTTCTGAATACTAGTTCTTCCATGTTACGAATCATTTGGATGTGTTAAATAATTTTTGAAAAAATGTATTAATGTAAGTCATGGATATTTTGCTTCTATATAAGCCATTTTGAGACGCCATTAATTAAATAATGTGTATTTATGTTTTAAATGGTATACATATAGATCATAAACCAAGTTTTGCCACTTTATATTCATTCGATATATTTCTAGCTGCTAAAAACTAGAAATTGTCCGCCATCTTGGAAAATGTTCTCAGAGTAGCTCATATTTTATCCATAAATATTGTATATGAATGATTATAATTATATAATATCTCCACCTTGACCTTAAAATCAAAATGTATGTTTATCCCGCACATTAAAAAAAATACCAAAACGATCGATATCTGAAATGTGCATTGTGCAGTAAAATATAAGTTTCGTCAAGTAGAGTTGTACAACAGGATCAATCAAACTTCTTCCTCATTTGCATGAAAAGTATTTGTTGAACTTTTAAGTTCAAAAAATGGTCAGGGGTCATGAAGACCATGATTGTAGGAATAATGTAATTAATGAAGTGAAAGTGTGTGATCAAATACTCAAGTGCCATGTTCTAATTGTACTGGAGAAAGCATGAGTTGTTAACCTTGATCAAGACTGCCAATAGCTGTATTGTACGTCTAGTTCTTCAGAACCTCAGGTGACTATTAAATGTCATTATTGTCATCAACCTACTGGTGTACTACGCCATAGAAAATATACATTTCACTGTAACATTTATTTCGATAGTTGATACCAAGCCCCATTCTATGTTATTGGCTTGAGTTTGACGTAACATGACAGAAATGAAGACAATTTTTGGAATTCCACTTCCACGGTTAGCATCACCTCAATAAGTGATGACATCACATGGTTATTTATAAACTTTAGAGATTTGCAACAACAACTTAAGTAGATTTAGCACTTCTTATATAATACTTGACAACTATAAAGGGACAGATGCGCCATAATTTTTATCCGTCTTACTTAAGTCTCAGAAACGGGAATTTTTTTTTAGCTAAACCAGTTAGTAATAGTGTTCACAGCTCATCGTCGAAATTTGAGCCTTCAAATCCATGTATGTCCAGAATTATCTGCATTTGAATGTTAAAATGACGAGTCGTCATTTTAAGAAACTCTGGTATATAGAAGACATATAGAAATAGTGGGTAAATTTTTTAAGAATGAAGTATTAATGTGATTTTTGTACATTTCTAGTACTTTTGAAGCTAAAATCAACCTTCCCAAATTCCGTACCTATCACTTTAATATAAAGAAAGTGTTATTAGATCCTTTATATACTTTATGTATTCATTTCATATTCATACCATATCAGGAAGTCAAAAAATCAGACACTTTTTTTTTTTTTTAGCTCACTGTCTTGTCTATTTTTACATTTTGTATAGCCTTGAGCTGTGATCATTTTCAGAATTATTACACTGAAGATCTTAGGTCTAGTACAAGTTCAATCAATTTAATTTTTAAAGCCCATCATATATAGAACAGAAGAAAATAATTTTTAGATAATAGTACTGTTTAATTCAATTTTTCTTTTGTATAAGTTACATATTTCATAATATGACCAATTTCTATGCATATTACATCAGCCTACATGTATGTACAATAATATTTATTTATAGCACCATGATTTTCAGTCATAGACTGCTAGCAAAGTAAATGTCCAATTTCCTAGCTTTGAGCTTATGACATGCCTATTTAGCAGCTTCTTTATCCAACATTTCAAGTTCTTCTTTTGTCATCATAAAATCATCTTGCATTTCATATATATTAGATAACTGGGACGGTTCAACACTTTTACTATTATCTGATGATGTATTTTGCTGCTGTGAAGCTGAAACTCTCCGTACAACTTTGGGTGTTTTTGGCGTAACAGCACCTAGATGACAATATATTTTTATTAGTTCAGGAAAAACTTGTCTATACAATTATGTCAATGGGTAACTCAAAATTTAAAAGTTATATATATTTTCAGAAACAAGACCCAGGTTTTCCCAAAGTTTAACATTTACAATTCAATTTTGATTTTCTTTACTACAATTAGGAACTCACAAAATTAAAATCCTTTGATCACATTGATCCATAACTCAAGCATAAATACAAATAACTTACAGTCAATTTCCACTATTTGTAGTTCTTTTTAACAAATATTCATCAAAAGAAAATTGCAGAAGTTTAGCATTAAAAGAGGTTATTAACAATTATAATACAATATCAGTATAGCTGATATTGAGCTTTATCCCATGAGTCAAATTTTAGAGGGAAGACTACTTTCTTATGTACTATCATACTAGGGAAATATTACAACAATGAAGAGTATTATTAGATCGGAAGAGTTTCTTACCCTTTTCTCCACTGACTCTTTTTTGACTTTCCTCAAAATACTGATTGGGATGTTGAAAAGTCTGTATATCGGAATCTAGGGCTATTCCACCATGAATATATTCAAAATATTTAGAACAAGCTACTTGATAATGACCTTTTTTAGTTGTAGCTATTACCTTGAAAAGAAATGCAAACCTGAATTTAATATTTCTAAACCTTTAATAGAACAATGACTAAACTTTAATTCAACATTGAGAAGTTAGATAATAAGGTCCTTTTTAGTTAATGGACTGTAGTATTTATCATTGAAAATTGTTAATTGCTGTATATGTTAATAGTTATTACAGGTAATTTGACATCAGTCTCTTTTGAAATGAAATGAAATGAATGGAGTTTTACGTCCTACTTTTCTGCACCATGTGGGCTAATGAAGACGGGCTGTCTCTTTTGAAAACAAGAGATATGACAATGAGAATAGAATCCAGTTATTTGAAGAAACACATTGATTTTAAACAATACTGACCTCTTCAAGAGCATCTTTACCCAAACCATTAGATTTTAATTTCTGTTTCAACAATTCAGGATCAAAATGTCTGAACGGGCAACCTGAAGGTTATAAAGACAATTTCAAATCAAATCAATAGATTTATGTAATTATTTAAATTATAAAACAGTATTATCAGCTGACATAAAAGGTTTTTTTTTTGTAGATTTAAAATACCAACAGAACAGCAGGATGACGTCACAAGAGGTTTATAAAACATATAATGATAATTAATTACTGTTTCTATATTGACTAATTGCCGATGAGAATAGATGTGCCAATAATAAAGATCAATATATAACTAAGCTAGGTAGATACTGACGTTAGAAAACAGGTAATTAACTGATCAGTTTATGTTATTTTCAATAATATCTTTTTATATCTTTGTTTTAAACTGCCTTTCCACTAATTAACAATAAAAAGAAAAGGAGGATCTATAATTGAAATGTCATAAGATATCTTAGTTTATGATTCTATGCCGAAAGCTATAGAACAAACTATTTAATACTTATTCTCCATTAATAGACTATTCCACACAGTTCAATGTGATTATATTCATCCCACAACTGCCACAAGTCCATAGGCTAATACATAGTTTAAAATAATTCATAGGTGGCACTAAAAATATCACTTTGTTTCTTTTGACTTTCAAAAGGTTAAAAAGATATCTATTAAAAGCCTATATTATAATAACATGTTTTCACTGTTTAAATGGTGCTCATTTGCATCATTCCGATTTGCTGGCTGATGGTTCCTATATGTATAATGATATTACTATCCCACAAATCATTTGGCTTAAATGGCATTTGAAATGGTTATGTCATAATCTTGTCAAAATTTAACCACAAATAAAAGACTAAGTTACTTCTTTTGTAATCCCCTGGCTTCTATTGTTCTATTAGCATTGAACTGGAAACTAACTAACAAAATATATTACCATGAGTATCCCCAGGGCCTGGTGCATTAGACATTATAATCTTCATACAACTGTATGGTGTATAATCAGCCCTTTTACCTTCTTTTCCATAATTATGGCGAATGTTATATGAATATTGTTTATCAAACTAAAATAGAAGACAAAATAAAAATAGATATTCTCTAGGCTCTTTATACTAAGAAATCTAAGATGTCAAACTCATTACTATAGGCCCAATTGGGTGTACTATTTGTGGTATTTGATATGAACACTACTATTTGTGGTAATTGAACATATCATATGTTCAGTTACCCCAAAAAAGAGCAGGGTTTAGACACAACATCAAATATGTTCTGAAGCATCTTAAATGTTCAGTTACCACATACAAATAATATGTTCAGACATAGTGTGAACACACACACCTGTGATAGTTAAACAGTATTACTATAGATGTCGTGTCTAAAGAGTCTTATTTGTGGTACACCATTATAAAATGCTGTGTGAGTTGTACCATATCAAAATAGCAAATGAAAGTTTTACTGGAAAATATACAAAAGATTCTTTTTGAATAAATAAATATTGCATCTACCAACCTTATCTCCATCTATCAACTTCATAAATTCACTTTTCCAGAATTTCATAGCTTCCTCTAATGATACACCAATACCTTTTAGAAATAGTCCATATTGCATTCTTCCACCATGTTTTAAATGATGTTCACGTTTCAAAGTTTGATGTAAATGTTGCATACATAATGGAAATGATTTTTTAGAAAGCTGAAAGATTAATAAGTTGTATTTTAAGGAATTGGAAGCTTCGTTCAATATTGTGTGCATTGTAATAACAAAAGAAGGAACATGCAGAAATTATGGATTTGGTTTTACGGTATACTCAAATAATTCTAGATTGAAAGAAAGACGTATGGGTGTCAACCATTTGATCAGTTATGATTATTTCAATTCAGGTCAGCTTTACTTAAGGTTGAGAGCCCATGTTTGTATACTTATAATCATGCTGTAAACTTGTATGCTAAGACCATAATAATGTCCCACAGGATTGTACATTGTCATAATCCATGGCTTCCTGGGAAAGCTTTCTATTTGCTTTCGAAGTCAAAAATCGGTTAACATTTTGTATAAAATTTTGGAATGCAGACTTACAGTATCTATCATATCAGCTGTTATTTGACCTGCTGCTGGTTTTTTATTAGTATAATCTTGTCCTAAATATCTCTTACTCAATCCACATAACATAGGTAATAATCTATCATCTTCTTCTAGATGGGGTAAAGCTCTTGCTGTTTGCTATTAAAATATGAAAAGATAACAATAAGGATAAACCAATACGAAATTTTGATACCATTCACATTTATGTTAAATTTCATGAGTGGTTTTTATACGCCCACATCTCTCTATGAATATTGTCGGCACCCCTGTCCGTCCGTCAACATTTGCTTGTAAACGCTCTAAAAACTATATTTTTCGATAGAATCAAATGAAATTCGGTATGTGTATACAAATTCATAAAATGAAGATCAAGGTCGAATTTTCGACCGTTAGAAGCAGAGTTATTGCCCTTGCCCCAAAATCTTGAATATTTACCATCCGCACGCCATGGTGGGCGTATATGGCTGTTGTCCACTATCTTTGTTACAGTTCTTGAATAAAATTATGCACACATACTTAAAAAAAAAAGTTTAAAGAATACATACTGATAAGGCTCTACTTAATTTAGCTCTATATACAGATAATAATATGGAAATCAAATCTTCACGGACAACATAGGCATATCCATCTTTTAAAAATACTTTTCTTGACTTAACTAGATCCAATGCATCTGTGAAATAAACCTTCAAATAGAAAATTTAATACTTCTGAAAAATTCCATTACATATAGTGACCACTTGAAACCATGTATAACGATATATGATGTGGAATTACTTTTCGTGAAAAACTGAAAAATGTTTGTACGCGTATTTTGTTAAAATCTTTTTTATTATTTTTTTTACCGCTATACATGGTTTTCATTCTTTGAAAATATATTCCTTGTATAACAATTTGAGATCTCCGGCCTATTGAACCAAAAACTTGTATAATAATATAGTATACAAGGTTTTTCATTATCATAATAATATATTTTACGAGCTTTTAAATCTGACTGTTTATATTTTAATAAGTGCTTTTTGACTTATTTACAATCAAGTTAAGAATACAAAGTTTTGATCACAAGATCTGCGCTTTTACGAGCTTTCGAATGGTACCAAAAAATCAAAATGACCAAATATGGCATATACAAGGTTTCAAGCGGTCAACCACGATATACATTTAGAAACACATAGTAATAATAATTACAGTTTACTACAAAGTAAGATTATTGCTGATCTGCCAAATATCAGTACCCACATGTACAATGAATGACTGAGTTAGCATGATTACTCATTCCAGAAAGTTGCTTTATTTTTTATCTATAATAGGTGTTAAATTTTATCAATATTTTTATCATATTAAGTGTACTCTACCTTAAAAAAATCTAATGTGGAAACTTGACCAGAACATATTGAATGGGCCAATTCTCCACTTATTTTTTCTTTCTCTTCTCTTGGAATCTACAAAATAAAAAAGAGAAGACTCTAAATATCTCAAAAAGCAAAAGCAATTTTACAGCAATTTCTAATCCTGAAAATTATCTGGTTTATTTACTTGCAAAATATAGATAACTCACAGGTGAATAATCTAAATTATTCAGCTTCAAAAATTCTTCACTACCATGTATGCTTTCATTTTGAAAACGGAATCTAAACAAATCAAGTTCTTGCTGTAAAAACCATCTTCTTAATTCTTCTCTGTAAGATAGAAAGAAATTGCAGTTCCTTATTTGTCACATAAAAGACAAACATTAAAACATTTTAAATTGATAATCATTTTCCAAAATCTTCCATTCAGATCTGATATTACTTGAATGTGAATAACAGAGTGACAACTCATTGACAAGCAAATAACTAAGATAACTAGCATTACACTTGATGACTGTAGTCAGTTTCAAGACTATGCTTAATGTTATTCCATTTACAAATGTTTTACTTACGATCTACAATATGCAAGACGCAATATAAAGTGTGAAATATGATCTATTCTTCTACAATATATATCTTCTTGTGTTACATTTTCTTTTCCTGACGTCTGAAAAATAAATCAAAATTTCTTAAATACATTTTCAATTCTAGGTAATTTCATATAATTTTCCTCTCAACAAATACATGAAGAGCCTATAATGCAATTTACAACAACCAGTCTTCTTTTCAACAATACAGAAATCATATTAACCTTACCTTCAAAATACCTTTGAATTTAGTTTTTCTGATTTCTTTAATCATCAATTCAGTGTAAGCTTCAGTACCTCTTATATGTTTAATACCAGCACTTTCACATGCCTTTAAAACTGAAAAGATAAAATAAGTAGATTGAAATATCATCCCTGACAATTGCTAACTCTTCCGCATGAAGTCAGATTACCGGAATCTAATTTTTGTATCATCAGACTGGATAAAGTAATAGTCAGTAGGCTAGTCTTGATACGAACACAACTAGGATTAAGACTGTTGGAGTAGTCCTTTTTCATATTGGTCCAAGTGGTTTTTTTTGGTCAGAGGAATACCAGCCAACTCGTTGACAAGCTTTTAATGGAGAACTCATCGATCTGTATTACCATGACTTTCTAATAATAGATCCGATGTTATTTGAGTAATATTTGTTCAAAGGTTGACTATGAGTTATCCAGGTTTGTCTGCGAGTTGACTGAACACTACACTGACGTAATAGACTAGAATGTGGAGTAGATATTCTGTCACTGTGTACTTAAAATAACTTTTACAAATATATAAAATAGGCCAAGTAAATAACCTTTCAATCGCTCTACTGCGAATTCTTCAAATTCCTGCAACGAAATAGTTTCTATAGGTGGACAAGAATAAAACTGAAGGACATGGGGATACTGTTCCGCCCCTTCAAATTTAATCTTATTCCTTGATTTCAGCCTGGGTCGGGAGCCTATGTCCATGTTGAAACTTTCTTTATTTTGATGTGTAAAATCACCCGCCAATTTCAATCGTCCAAAATGAATTTACAGATTTGCTACTTTTGAAAATAAGATAACAACTAAAATTATTCAAATAAAAAGTCAAATCTATTTATATTAATAAAAAACTGTACATAATGATACAGTTTCACTGAATTCCCTTCCGAATAAATGGTAGGGTCAAGGTTCTAAGTTTGACATTTTGAATCCAAATTTTGATTTTAGACACATTAATTTTGTTTGTTTTCTTCTTCCGGTTGTGTCATGTGATCAAAACATTAAAAATGGCGATTCCAAGTTTTGTTTTGGCAGCCAGTTGGATTCCATTTGTAGTCATATTAGTGGTAATTATTTGCTGCAATTGGTTTACTTTTCTTTGGGGAATCCTAATACCTATCTATCATGAAATTGATGTTTGAGAGGAGTAGCTGCACAATCTCATGACTCATATTTCACTTTAGCCGTCAGATTGAGATTTGAAAAAATTGAAACTGATCTTTAGTTTAAGGGTTGAGTATTAGTCATCTAGATAAAGCTATATTTACTTTATTAGATGGCAGATGTCAATTTCAAGTTAATAAGCTTTAGTCAACAATTTAAAATCATTTCCTGATTCTATAGGCTACTAAGGTTATATTACGATACTAATACTAAAATGTTATATATAGAAACGTGTTGTTGAAGTCATCACATCCGTCTAGAATCTACAACTTCGACATTGACAGTCTTAAGCACCTATTACAGATCACATCATGACATACATCATATTTGCATGTCAAAAAGTTATTGACACCCTAAAACTGATGACAGACAAGTGCATTAAAATGTTGATATCATTTTTGAAATTTTGGTTCTGAAAAGTGTCATAGATATCTTTCGTAGAATGATATATGGTGTCCGGTCAAGTCGTCGACATGCCAACTCGTCGACAGTCAACTCGTCGACAAACATGACCTAGTCGTCGACAGATTTGACCAACTTGTCAACAAATTACGAGACGCCTCGTCGACAGATCATATATTATATTTATGCAGTTTTGTTTTTCTTTACTATGGCTTCAATAAAAACAGATCATACAACAAATATTAAATTGAATTGAATTGAAATTGACAAATATGGAGTTTATTGATTGCCAAAGTGAGTAATCATCTCATTAACCAAGTGAATAGTTTTAATTGAGATTAGCGTTAGTCCTGATTGAGATTAGCAGTGAATATAAACGTGAAGACAAATCAATTAATTAACAATGAGCAACGATCATTCAATCAGATTACCGATTAATCCAATATATGGCTTCCAAAAACGCGTATTATAAAAAGGCTTACAACTGTTGGTCATCATTCTTTCATTTATGTCTGAAAATGTCTAACTCTTGTATTAAATGTGAGAAAGAAGTCCGCCCTCGTCAAGAGGCACTGTCATGCGATAATTGTAGCGGATGGCAGCATCGAACATGCGGTATCAACCTTACCAGGGCATATATTATGTACATAAATGAATTATAAACCCTGCTTAATTATCTCCCTTCAATAAGAACTCTCTTCACCAACGAAACGTTAACGAGTCGATTTATAAAATTCTGTCGACGAGTTGACTTATGAAATTCTGTCGACGAGTTGAATTCCGTCGACGACTTGACCGATAAAATTCTGTCGACGAGTTGTCGTGTCGAGGACTTGACTGGTATTCTAATATATGGCCTATGTATTGCAAATTCCTTGACTTATTTCTCCGAACTAACACAAAGTCAAAAGAAAGATTAAAAACGTATACTTCAATTGAGGTCTGAAGCAAAGCAATGATATGTAATTATTCTGCCTTTGTTGACACATATTACTTGTTTTTATTTATTATGTATGTAATTTGAAATATATCAAACATTACATTGTTACATTTCAGCTGATATTGTTATTTTCTATTGGTTATGTCAGATATTATATGAGTAAATATGATAGTGAGGTCTCATCAACGTTAGCAGCAATATTTGCTTTAGCTGTTGGTCTTTTTACCACAGCTCTGATTCCAGTTGATATTTTCCTGGTATCTTACATGAAAGACTCAGATGGAGAGTTTAAGGTTAGTCTGATTTTGTATTTTATGAAGCTGGCTTGTAACAACATGGACATTTTTGTACTTGAACAAGCCGTTCAAATCAAACAATATTTTCATTTTTCATGATTGATCAACTATAAGAATGACTTTCTGGCAAAATAAATGAGGGTAGGCTGACGACATGATAACAGAATTTGTTTTTCAAGAAGATTCTTTTGATGTTATGAATAGTATTGTTTTTATTTTAGGATTGGGCTAATGATTCTACAGTTAGAACTGAAATAGAGCATTCCGTCCTGTATGCCTATCTTAGTGAGTTATTTTTTAAAGGGTGTTGATTAGAACTGAAAATGACTACTGCTTAGATGCCACTGTACCAATTACATTTTACAATTACTTTGAGCATCCATGTTTGATTTTCGAAGGCATGGGAAAAAGCTGGAAAAGACTAGCTTTCAAAATCTGAAAATGAAATATGAATGTAAACAAGAATTTCATAGCATGTCCTGTCCATGACTATTTTTCTTTTAAAATCAAGTTTCAAAACAAAACAACTAGATTTGTATATTGACCTGATTTGTCATTTTATTGTAAGTGACTTGATAGCTATAGAGTCATTATGCTTGGTTGAAATTGGAGAATGGAATGAATGGAATGAATGGAATGAATGGAGTTTTACGTCCTACTCTACTGCACCTTGTGGGCTAATGAAGACGGGTGAAATTGGAGAAGCTATGAAAATATTAGTACACTGTGAAAGACATTAAAGGGAAATAATACATATTTATACCAATCTTTTTCTAGCTCTGTATGGCCTGGTCTCCTTTTGTATCTTCATTCTGTTGCCGTTCATGTATTTCTTCTATGAAGAAAAAGATGAAGATTCAACATGTAAATCTGTGAGTTGTTTTATTTTCTTCTACTAAAATCTTAACAGGAATGCATTATAGCCATGTATAGACTATCTTTTTATGAAGAATATTCTGCCACCAACCATAGAATTATTTCGTTTGTAATAATTAATTTGATGTCTGATTTCAGAGATGTTGTACTGCCCTCAAATATCTATGTGTTTTTATCATATTTGCTGCTGTTTTATTCTGTATTGGGTAAGTTTATTTTCTATTCTTTCAATGTTTTGATGAAAAGACTATTTAGAAACAAGTTACATTTCTTTGAATTGTATGTAGTGCTGTAACTAAGTATTTCCAGAGATATATGCAATATATATATAGTCAAGTATGTCCATATTTTTGTGGGGGGTTGCTTTGTTTCGAAATATTGCAGTCTTATCAATGTCAATTTTTGTTGTTTTTCTTGATGTTGTTGGTATCTCTATTTGGTGAATTCAAATTTTCAGAGCATTTGTACCAACAAAAACATTACCAAATAAAAATGATACAGAATGGAAACAAATTGAGGCATTGATTGAAGAAATGGGCAGTAATGGTAAGTATGAATATAAGTAATTTATACTGAGTTATCTTGATACTTAGTAAGCATTGTATCATATAGAATAATGTATTTCACAAACATAGAGCAATTGCTTTATAAGGTAGTATGTCTATATTTTTATATTGTTAATTATGTCATATATATTATTATGTGTCTGTCTGCAATTAAATCATACTAAAGCTGTTGGTGTTTTTGAGTTTTCCAGACAGTTTCTCTTTGCAATAATCAAATACAGTTCTTTGAATTAATCTCTGTAAATAAACTCTTTGATCAATATACATGATTTCTTCAATATAGGAGGAGAAGATGCTATATCATTTACTATAAGTGTGTTAAGTTTAATTGGTATGCTGCTACTGATACTCTACACTGTAAGTACCTTGTTTGTCACTTTTTAAAAATATGAAAAGTAAATGTCAAATGGAAATAAGGGGCAAGCTCATACCTATTACACTAATTTACTTATGTAAGCTCAAGATAGAGCAGATAAATGTGTTTATCGATATTTTACCTTGTTAGAATGTCTGTGTATGTTTTATTTTTGAATATATTATGTGGTGATGTTCTCCTGTTCTAACCAATAGACAAGGGCTATGTGCCAGCCATATGAAAGACACAATTTCTCTAAAGGCCTAAAAATTTGTTTAAATTATGAAAATTCTGACCGACTCATGCAATTTTAAATAATAATGGTTCCTCGCAATATCCATCTTTAGAGCCTGGTTTTTACTTTTAATATGTTGTGTTGTTCTCCTGGTGGAATGGCAAAGTATTTTGATTTAAATAGAATCAACAACATTTTAAACTTTTGCATGACATGCTCTGGTTGTAGTAGCTATATACCAACTAACATAAATATTTAATATTGTAGGCTTATGGTATGTCATCATTACCTATTGGTTTGATAGTGGGTAGATTGAATGTTAAAAAAGAGAGGTTAGAGGTACAAAGTCAAATCACAGATACTGAGGGTCAAATTGATTCTATAAAGCAAAGAGTAAGTAGACTTACAATCTGAATGAACTCAACAAATTTTGTCATTGCAAAGTGATATAGATAAGTCAGTGTTTTTTTGTGATAAAATTTACATGAAAGATATTTTGAACCATGCTAATGTTTATTCTGTTTGTTTTATTCTATTATGTTCAAGTGATAGTAAATCGCCCCTGTCCTTCGGTCCGTCCGTCCGTCCATGGCTTGTGAACACAATACAGTTTTCATCCGATTTTAATGAAATTTTATGTGATCATTTATCATAATGAGATCTTGGTCAAGTTCGAATGACACTATTTTTCGACAAATTTTTTTTTAGTTTTGGAACTTGACTTAGGAAAAACCTGTCAAAATTTGTTTGTGAACACAATAGAGACTACAGTTTTTATCCGATTTAAATGAAATCATTTATAATGAATTTGACAATTTTCATCTTTTTTTCATGAAATCTGGTGTGATCATATATTACAATGAGATCTCAGTCAAGTTTGAAATTGACGATTTTTCATTGAATGGAGTTATTGCCTTTGACTTCATAAAAATGCATCAAAATTTTGGCATATCTTGCTAGGCAACCACTTGTTGAAATTTGACATAAAATATATATTACAGCATGTAGGACGCAAAAAAATGTCAAAAAAAGATGAACGAAGAGTCGAAAAATTACAAGAATCAGATCATTTGATGGAAAGAAGATTACGTCATTTAATAGAGAAAGAAAATAGCTGTGTCAATAAGTGTATGAAAGTTTTAAGACCGTTTGAAATGATATTTGGTATATTATTTGGTCTGTTGGCTGTATTGATTTATTTTTCGCTATTACTCAGCAAGTAAGAAGTCTTTTCACTTCTTTAATGTGATGAACACGCTCTAACTTATGAAAAAACATCATCATTAGGGTATATGATGACAGTGTTATACTCCCAGATGCCAAAACAATTCTGCAATCCACAAGGAAAATTTTAAACAAAAATTAGATATGATTTCAGACATAGAAAAATCTCAATTTCCAATTAATATGTAGTAGTTTCCAGGTACAACCAATATTCCTTAACAATCTTCTCATTTTAGCATTGATAAAGCTGTACATAGTAAAGGCTACTCTATTGGCTATGCTCTACCACAAAGAACATTACCAAATCCCATTGATATTGCTCTGGTCTACAGTCAAAAGGTTTGTGTCACCTCTTGGATATTATAGGAGTAATTTGAAATGTGATATTAAACACATATTTGAACTTTGAATCACTGATGTAAGAAATATGCTGTGTGAAAAATATGCTAAACAAAATACATAGTTGCTTACCACCCATCTAGCATATAGTTTACATCAAACCTCTTTCACAGAAATGTGCATGGAAATGGTTTTTACCTCATATTTTCCAAACTTAAATTCTGGCCAACACAAAATATTCAATAAATATCTGTTACATGTAATAAATGAAATTCTGACAATTAATAATTATAAGATTTTTTTAAAAGAAAAAGCAGACCTTGACTGTAATCTAACAAACTGCCTATTTAACTTTAATATCAGCCATTACATTACAGGTGTTTCCTCTAGATTATATACTCATGTCCTGTATTGTGGTATACTTTGTGTTTTGTTCCATGTCCGGAATAAGAAATATTGGTATTTGGTTTTTCTGCGTCAAAGTAAGTTTTATTCTTTGGCTGAATCATTTCTCAAAATGATGAAACGTTTATCTTAAAATGAAGTAATCTGAAATGTTCTTTTATGGTGAAAACAATTTAAGGTCTTTTGGGCTATATTAATTTGACTGAAAGGAATAGTACCTTTGGGTTTGATTTGTGGGGCTGATTTGGAAAAATGATCTAGTTTGTCAATTTGAACATCTATCCTAGGCTAAAGTAAAAAGGTATACTCTCATTTTATGTAATTGTATATTTTGTAGATGTATAAGATAAGGGTAAGAAGAACTAAACCACAAGGATTATTAATGTTGTGTATGATATTAATGTTTATTATACTGGCTATCAATATAATACTGTATGAGCTTACTCCACAATATTCATCATTTGGTAGTCAACATTACAAAGTAAGTAACATTTTCATATTTCTATGATAATTCTTTTTGATACACGTACCTGAAATATTGTCTTATACTATCTTTACATCCTTCAGAATGGCTCGTAAACACTCAAAGACGCATATCCTCTAGTAGATTTTGACAAACTTTGTTAATTGTTTATTATCACCCAAAGATATACTGTATGAAAAATAGAAAATATCAGAAAATATTTCATATGAGTTAGTACCCTTGTTCTTTGAAGCTGTGTAAATTCATGTTATGTAAAACATTTGAAAGTTAATTAAAATTATTCATTATCGAAGTTCTGAAATAATAAAACTATAATGTCAGATAAAGAAAATAAAACCTTTATGTTTTAGTTGAATAGTACAAATGAAATCAAGGCATGTACCACAGCAGTATCATCAGGTAATACATCAGAAATTTGAAATTAGAAATCGCAATTTGTCTAGGAGAATACTCGTTTCACCAACTCATCAAAATGACTGCAAACTGCATGTACTTAATGTATATGTAATATATAATATTATATTTAACATGGCTAAGCTTATGCGATGTAAAAAGTTTATAATCATTCAATGAAAACTATTATTATGCATAGCTTAAATTTTCTATGTATGTCATTCTCATTAAAGACAACTGTACAGTAACACAAATGGTAACCTTACTCACTTCTTTCTTCTACAAGATGAATTTCTTTGGTGCAGCCTATTATTTTGGAACATGGGCATTTTTGGGGGTAGGTATACATGTTAAAACATTTTAATGATGTCAGCACATGATCAAAAGCAATATTTCTTTGAAATTTTAGCTTAAAAGTGAAGTGTAGAATGGATATTGATGTCTATTCACTGATAAATAGGTTTTTTAAATTTAGTAAAATAAAAAGAACCTATTATTATAACTCAATTGATTATCTAAATATTTATTCTCGGGAATAAAAAAAGAAACATTTTGACCAATATTATGAGACAGGAATTCTGTGAGTATAAAAATTGGATTCTATCGAATGGTGAACTGAATTATTAAGTTATAAGATTATTTCAAATAACAAGAGTGTGTTATGTTTTTTTTTTTAGGTCTATTTAATAGGCTTGATAATAGCAATAATCAGAGGAAGAAAGTCTGCTATTAGTACAGAAGTTGAAGATAGTGATTTTGAAGAAAGTGATGAAGAATTATTAACTGGATAAAAGTGATATATATCTGGTTTTAAAGATAAATAACCATGACTGATATCTGAAAAATATTTTTTCAATTGATTCAAATTTATCAGTGCTATGTACATGTATTAAGTGATTTTGTGTTCAGTTATAAACATATTCAATTTTAGTACTATTCCATAAATATTACATGTATCGGTAAAGCATGAAAACAAAGTTATAATGTGTATCAGACAAACAAAACCTGGTCCATGGAGACTTAATGCTGAAAATAGCAACATAATTTGTTAACATCAGTACAACCATGAAATGTGATCAAATCTTGAAACAGAAATGAAGTAATGGACTGTCAGTTGTCATTGTATGTGTATTATTAACTCTATATGTACACTGTTAAATACCATTGTAAATATAATGTGAATTTATATCCAATTTATTTTCTCATGCCAAAACAATTTGAATTTCAAACAAATTTGTGCATACTTGTAAATAAAGTTTATATGTTAGATGTTACTGTGGCATAGTTCTACATTATGTTTTATATTATATTCTTATAATTTATTCTGTAAATAAATCAATAAATAATGCAAATCTTGGGATGTTTTTCTTTTCCTTTTTTTTCTTTTCGTAGAAAAACATGAATTACTAAAAACATTATATTTATAAATCTTTATGATAAAGTGATATTGACACTTAATGACTGACTATAAACATCATGGTTATTGATACTAAATGATTTACTATAAACATCATGAGTATTGATAATAAATGATTTACTATAAACATCATGATTATTGATACTAATGATTTACTATAAACATCATGATTATTGATACTAAATGATTTACTATAAACATCATGATTATTGATACTAAATGATTTACTATAAACATCATGGTTATTGATACTAAATGATTTACTATAAACATCATGAGTATTGATAATAAATGATTTACTATAAACATCATGATTATTGATACTAAATGATTTACTATAAACATCATGATTATTGATACTAAATGATTTACTATAAACATCATGATTATTGATACTAAATGATTTACTATAAACATCATGATTATTGATACAAAATGATTTACTATAAACATCATGAGTATTGATACTAAATGATTTACTATAAACATAATTATTGATACTAAATGATTTACATCGTAATAATATATCTATATTATAAAGTTACATTGATACTAAATGATTTACTACAAACTTCATAATAATACATCTTTTTGATAGAGTTATATTGATACTAAATGATTTACATCGTAATAATATATCTCTAATATAAAGTTACATTGATACTAAATGATTTACTACAAACATCATACTAATATCTCTTTGATAGAGTTATATTGAATTTTGTGAATTGCGAATGTTTAATTCAAATAGCAACGTTTCATATAGCCTACGTTTTACTGCAATGG